CGAAACTCATTATCTTCACATGACAAATTCATCATTCATTATAGTAAATACCGTAAATCCTAAAATAAACTTTGAACTACCCTATTAAACTAATAAATTTTAATAAATTTATCTGTTATCATCATTGGGCTAAAAAACTATAATAATAATAATAATAATAATAATAATAATAATAATAATAATAATAATAATAATAATAATAATAATAACTAAACATGAATAACACATGTTAGGCAGATTGTATGTGCTAAAGCAGCTATCCATTTAAATAATAGATTACTTGGACCTTACAATTAGTGGAGGAAAATGACCCCTCAAATTTAGCTAATAATTGATGGGGAAAACGAAAATCAACTATATAAATTCATTATCTGTAAATTATACTTATACATGGATCGAACTGTGTGGATAGAATTTAATATTTTTAAAAAATATAGCCACTTTATGACATCTTTTTTGGTCATTCTCATTTAAATTATTGTAAATTTTACATTTAATATCTAAACTATTAGTTTCAATCCATTTTAATACTTACATTTTTTACTTTTCAAAATTATATCTGATGTTTTATTTTAGTATCCGATCATTAAAAACTTAATGCATCTAGTATTTAAACTATAAATTTTGGTCCATTTTGAGTACCTAGATTGTCATTTTTTTTAAAAAAAATTAATGTTAAATTTTGAAAGGATACTAAAATAAAACAAAAAATTAAAAGTTTTAACGACGAGTACTAAAACAAACAAAAAAATTAAAAAAAATAGTATTAATAAATAAAAAAATTAAATATCAAAATAAATAATTTAAATACTAAAATCCCTTTAATTTATTGTAAATCTATCCCCATCAAGGAATGTTTGAATGCCTGGCCGCAAAATTGGTCGGATTTGTGCGGCAATAATTTTGATGAATAAAACGTGTCTAATGACCGGATCACACAAAGTCAGAAACTTTAGGTTTTTAGCAGCCTTCAAAAGATTTATTTTTTATCAATAAAATGACTTGCTATAGCCTATTGCCACCGCCAAGGGCACCATATCTAATCTTTGTCCCTTTCCATGGTCGGAATACCAAAATTTCAAATTATTAAATACTACATCATTCCTAAAAAGTCACACAGTCCAAATTAGAGCAAGGAGATATACGACCAAACCTTGCTTATAGAAGCAGCACCGAGGATTCCCCAAGCTTCCAAGAAAGTCACCGAATCATTATGCATCACTAACTGAATACCCAAATAATTACAGAAAGTAATCCATAATTTTCAACTAAACCAACAAGAGAATAAGAGATGCTCATTAGTTTATGGAAAGTTGTTGCAAAATAGGTATAAATTGTCTGTATTTAAAGGAATTCCTCTCTTCAACAATTGTATTTTTTTAGTTATTTTTATTTCTTTCACCTTTAAGTGTTAAATTATGCTATTCAAAGTAAACCATATAACAATATTCATTTGTCAGAAAATGCAACAACGTCCAATGAAGCTTTGTCCCCACATTTCTTGAAACCAAAACTTTTAATTTAGCTCATCTCATAAATCTTATCAAAAAGTGGGTGACATTAAAATAAAATAAATAAATATAATAAAATCAAGGGTCAAATACACAAATAGTCCTCTATATCTATTATTTTATTAAGCTCATTGAATATTAAAAATTACAAAATAGTATTTGATTATAAAATGTTATTTTATTAAGTCCATCGACTATTAAAAGTTATAAATAGTCACCTGACTATTCATTGTATTCCGAACTCGTCCTTTTCTGTTAAAAGATTGGTAGTTGTCTAAGTTGAACGTCAATATGATGAATAATATATGATAGTTGTTTGAGATTCTGTGATCAAATTTTATCATATCATAGTCAGTAAGTTAAAGTTATCTTTCTATCATCTTTTAGAGGGTGTTAAAGTTAAAACCCATAAGGAGATATGGTGGAATCAAAGGCAGTAATAGAAGGGATGGCCACAAAGAAAAAGGAGAGAAATAGAGAAAGATGAATAACTGGGGAAGGTGGTGGGGTGGGGGAGCCCAGGGCCGTGGCTGAGACGGCGCGAACTGCACGACCGCGCAGGGACCCCAAAAAATAGGGCCCCAAAAAAGTATATATATAGTGGCGTTTTCCAATAAACGCCACTATAAATGGACCTATTGTGACGTTTTAAAAAACGCCATTATTATTACGGCTTTATTGATAAAACGCTATTATAGATGGATCTATCGCGGCGTTTGTCAAAAAAACACCACTATTGTTGTCCTAAAATCGAATATATCTAGAAAATAGGAGCCCCTTCATAAGAATTTGTACAGAGCCCCGAAAACCAAGCCACAGCCCTAGGGAGCCCCATCAATCTATAAGTATCTCCATCTTTAGTGGTGGTGGTGGGTGGTCAAGAAAGGACACAGAATTTTATAGTAAGATGCGAATTTAAACTTAGAAAGAATGAATTTTAATTAATAATTTTCTTAGATTTTTAATTTTAATAAAAAGGATATAAAAATCTAAAATACATAATAATTTTAACTTTTTAGAGAAGATTATGTCATCTATCCCTTTAATCCGTCTGGGTGGTGGTAGGTGGCAGACAATTAACTCCAATATTTCTCATTTCTTTTATCCTTTTCTTCTTTAATTGATGTATTGACTGCTTTCTTTCCCATTTGAAAGTGCGTGTGTGAGAGGGAATTCAATTAGGGGAGGAGATGTTAGATATATAGGGTGGGGGGACTTGTGTGGGGCGACTTGTACTCTTCTATTTATTATTCATCTCATTTATAATTTTATTTTTGTGTATATCATGCCTTAAAAAACAAAAATATTAACTTTACATTTTCTGATTTACATAGAATCTTAGAGTTTAAATGTCGTAACATTATACATCTTATAAGATATGTCTTTTAAGAATAAAACAATAATCTTATAACAAATGATATTTGAGTGATGTTTTTGACTATTTGATTTCATGTGAAGTATCTAGTAGATGAGATAGACATGATGAACATTAATTTCATAGTGAAAAATAAAATAAAATAATCATAAATTTTTAAAAAATAACATTATATATCTCATTAGATATATCTTTTGAAATATATATATATATAGCTTAATATCATTAATGTGGTCAAAAAAAGCATCTCACGGTGAATGTAGTATGCAATACTTTTGGCATCGTTTCAGAATGAATGTGGGAAAAGAGGACCCAAAGTCTGGTCGCTGGGAGAATTTTGGAGTTATGAAGGATCATGACTGGTCAGTCAGCTAATTAAACAAACTATCATTGATTGGTTTTGGCATCTATCCCGATGGACGTGGTTGACCTCCTTCAATAATGGATATACTTTGCTTCATATGCAATGTATTTTTTTTCTTACCCCATTTTCCCTTTCTTTTCTTTTTTTAACCTTCCTGGAAAATTCAGCCCACCGACAAAACTTGAGACTGTTTGGCAAGCAAGAAAATTCATCATCCATGTATTCATCAATTTATCATTAACTGTTGGCTTGAGTTTTTTTTTTTAATTACGACTACTATCAATTCACTTTACAAATTACAATTACATTAAAATATATATGTATAATTATATCTAAAACCGACCACTATCGTGCACATAAGGTTTATAGTTATAATAAATTAATATTTATATCAAAATAAATAAATTGTAAATAATTTAATTCTGTCGTAATAAAGATGTCAAATCTTTATTATTGTCGTCGTATTTATCTGTTTATTTTAAATATCATTCGTTTTGAACTCAAATTAATCTGAAAAAACCCCTAATATTTGAGTATGAAAATGTCACGTTAATTCTCTCACCTTTCTAACCATTATCATGTCAAACCGATTGAACTCCTAACATGTCACACAAATTTGTCTACTTTATTTAAATAAAATCTAATATATATTTTTATTAAAATTTTCTAATAATTACTTTTAAAGGAAAATTAAAATAATTATTTAACAAGAATTCTAGGAGTGATCTTAATGATAAAAAATAATGTTGTTTTTTTAGATACTCGATTTTGAGTAACTTTATCATAGGTTTGTATAAATTTATCTAGATTTTAATTATACATAGAATGTATCTTACAATTATAATTATTAAAAGACCTCAGGACTAATTTCTCGATTTCCATATAAAATTTTGAAAGATTAAAATAGAAGGATTGATATCTTAATTTTAGAAAAATAAAGGATGGGATCCAAAATTACACCAAATGTCAGAAAGGGTCCCACATGAGAATTCGCACTGATTACCGCTATTATTACGCTCAATTGTCCGTACACTGACACAAAAAGTAAAATAAATAAAACAAAGAAAAGGCAGCGGAACGGGAAACCGCAACTTTAGAACGGGACCCACAAACGTAGACTAGCCAAAAGATCCCACGCTTCACACATGTGAAAAAGTTAGTGGGGTCCACCTCTTGGCCACGTTCACAACGGACCCTTTCACCTGTTACTATTTTATTTATTTTATTTTTTGGAAGTTTATTTAAAATGATTACATATAATTTTATGTCAAAAGATATAATTTTAAAAAACTAAACGGATAACAATAAATTATAAATATTAAAATATATGAATATTTCAAAATTTTCGAAGATTATCTGTCTATCCTCTCTCAATTCACCCCTTCGTTGGTTCGTATATATCAGCTTACGTGGCAGAGACTTTGTGGTTCGAATACGTGGCAGATATGCAGTATATCAGTTTCTAAGATAAAATATATTATATATATGCGTGTGTGACAGACAGCCGGCCCATAATCAGTTTTTCATTAAAAACACTAAATCCCACGTCTGACAGAACCAAAAAGTGATGATGTTCAAATCCCCTTTTTGCCCCGCTTAAGTCTTCCTTTTACCGAGATAAACACGGGGGGAATTCTTGAAATTGTAAATAAAGGAACTTAAATTTTAATGAACATAAAATACAATGACCAAGTGAGGAATTTATCTTATAAACCAAATCTAATCTAAAGACAAAATCTGCCACTGCTACCCCATGTTTTACTAATTAAAAAAAAATTGGAAAGTCTTTTTTTGACTTTCTCTCTCACTATTAAGAACCATACCATAATAAATCTGTTGCTGCTTCATCCATCTCTCTCTCCCCTCCAATACCAAAGAAGTCTCCTTTTATCTCTCTCTCTCCCTTTCCCTTCTCCAACTTTCACTTTATATATCATTCTCAAACAACAAAGACTTAAGCAAACGCAGAATCAAATGGCAGTCAAAGCTCCGAATATGAATCTTTTTCCTCCTCTGTTCATCCCCAACGGGTAAACTTCAAACTATCCACCGCTGTTTCTGTATAAATTCTGGGTTTTTTCTTCATTTTTTTAACATGGGATTTTGTTTCTGGTTGTAGCAGAGATTTTATTAAAGTTAATCAAGGGAGTGGGAATATATACAATACCCAGATGAACACTTGTGTTCCTTTGGTTGAAACAACTGTTTGTCAATCTATTTGCAGAACTTCAATCAACAAAGCTGATAGTGGGGTTACGTATAACATGAATATCCCAGTTTCGGCTCAGAGGAAAAGGCCAAGAGATGAATCGTACACAGTTCCTCGAAAGAACAATTTTTCTGGCGTTTTCTCTCAGATCCAGCAACAACAGCAACAAGAAATCGACCGTTTGATTGCTCAACATGTGAGTGTTCTTTTTAGAAAAAAAATAAAGTTTTGTCTAATGGTGATTTATTCATGTTTTTTTTTGGTTGATTACTTTACAGATAGAGAAGGTGAGTGTGGAGGTTGAAGAAAGGAGGAAGAAACAATCGAGAATGTTTATGACGGCGATCCAAGAAGGTGTTATGAAGAAACTGAAGGAGAAAGATGATGAGATTCAAAGAATGGGGAAACTGAACTGGGTTCTTCAAGAAAGGGTGAAAAGCCTCAGTTTGGAGAACCAACTATGGCGGGACCTGGCTCAAACGACCGCAGCCACCGCCAATTCTCTGCGCACCAATCTAGAACAGGTCCTCGCCCAGGTCGGCGAAGAACGCCACGCGAATGGCGGAGGGTCGGCTGCTGATGCAGAGTCTAGCTGCGGAAGCAGCGACGAAGGGTGGCGCAGGGTGCTGGCAGTGGAGCAGCCGCAAGAGCAGGCGACGGGGAAGTGCAGAAAGTGCGGGGAGAAGGAGTCGAGTGTGGTGTTGCTGCCATGCCGGCATCTTTGTCTGTGTGCAATGTGCGGGTCCACTCGGGTAGCCGGTTGCCCTGTTTGTGACTCTGCCACCAATGCTAGTGTTCATGTTAACATGTCTTGAAACAAATTTTCTACGTCTCTTTTATTTAGAGCTTTAGTGAAAAGGAAAACAAAATACAGCAAAAAAAAAATGAAAAAGACAAAAAAATAAATATGTTTCAAGAAATGGATCATATAAAATTTCTTTATTTCTCCTCCATCTTTGGTGTTAAATTATGAGTATTTATGAAAATCCAAAAAAATTTATCAGTTAATCAAACTAACAAATGTACTATCTTTAGATAACTTAAGATTGATTGTTGTTATTTCTTAAGATTCCAGTCAGAGTATTAAAATAATCAAGAGTATAAATATTTAATTTTAAGTAATTAAAAATTATCTTTCAACAAATAATTTTTATACCTAGCCAAGGTTAATAAAAAAAAAGAAATTAAGTATTAGTTGCCTTTCGTTATCAATGATGAAATTGGCTAATAGAAAAATGTCTTGTCAGTCCATACCTTTACTTGGAATTAAATGAATAAGATTTAATTAAATGCTATATATGCTTACATTAACAGACCCACTAACTAGCTAAGTTTGGCAGCTACTTAATTGTAGGATTATGCTAATACGTCTAATCCAACTATCTAAAAGAGGTTTGGTTTGTCGTCATTATTTGAATAAAAGAAATTAGGCCGACCTGTGCTTAATTGTGAAGTTCATTCATCAACTTTATAAAATTAAGAAATCAACCTTTTCGTTTTAATCTATTAGAATTTACCATTTGGGGTCAAAGTCTAGCACAAAACACATGAAATTATATTCTTTTAGTTCGTTGTATATAAATAGATAAGACATTCCCCTCATCTTATTACAAAATTTGGACATTAGATGAATGATACTTATAATGTTGTTATATGGAAATTTTTAAATAGAAAATAGTAGCCTTCACTCTCTTGGCTTCTAATTCGAATCGAGGAGAGAAGAATGACAATTTTCTTTCATGTTAATATTTGATGTAGTTGAATGATATGTTAGTATATCTTATTGAAATAGAAAATGAAATATTGATATAGTAAAATACAGTGATGAAATTTCAAAATTAGACCTTAATTTCAATATACAGAGAAAGAAACATTCAGTCACTAAACATAAAAAAAGTTCCCAACTACACCCTAAAGTTTTGGGTCCATATTAATCCCTAAATTTGATAACTTGTTCATTTTTAATTACTCCAATGATATAGTGAGATTGTGTCACCTGGTATATATAATATCATATTGCCATGTCTAAATGACCAAATCCAAAGATTATTGTGGACCAAAAAGATTAAATGACCAATACAAATAAAAAATCTAATGATTAAATTGAAACTATATATTAGATTTAGGATCTAACTATATTTTATCCTTAATTTTAATATAAGATTAACGCATAAAAGAGAAGTTGGCATGGCAGGCAATATGAAACTGACACCGAATAGAAAAATTACAACAAAACAACAACAGTGTACTGCAATAATAATTACTAAATGTGATGTTGGAAATCTGCATGGCAAATGGCAATGGCAGAAACCTAATAATAAGTTCTAAAAAACAAGGAAATGGCAAAGACAAAACAGAGAAAAGACATTAAAGAAATGTCCATATGGATTATGGCATAAGATGCCCTAAATCTAAGATTAATTAAAAAATATCTGTAATGATTTGTTTAACTGGTTGGTGTTTCATAATCATTGAACCCCACAAAGATATCATAATTTGTTGATATCTCTTCCTCAAAATTAGCATCATTCACTTACCACTTCATGTTAATCCATCCACTTGCATCTGTCTGTATTTGTTTATGTTTTCCCACCTAACCCACCTTAACTTATCATCTCATCAGATACTATCATTTCAGGGCATTAAGTAATCAAAATTGTCAAACTATGGTTTCGGTCCCTACCATGATAAAAAAGGAGTAGAATGACTAAACTCGGAATCGGAGAATAGTGCGAGGACAAAACCCACAATTTATATATCATTGATGAGTCGAAATCAATGGGCAAATATGGAACATATGTGATGGTGAGACGAGACGAGACACGAAAAGGAAAGGGCTGCTCGCTCATCTTTTACGTACAAATAAACAAAAAGCAGGGAAAAAAAGAACCCTAAAAACACGCCGAGGAACTGCAGCAAAAAGATGTAAAAGGAGGGTTGGAAGATGAGTTGAACATGATGTGTCCAAACCCTTTGGCGTTCACCACCATTTTCTTTTCTGCCCCACTCTCTGCAACTGCTGCAGATGATAATGATAATAGGTAATAATAATCAATGCAGCATTCGGTTTCCTTTTACTTTTGTTCCATATGTTAATGTTATGTCATGTCTTTTGGACCCACTTTTTGTTTTTTATTTATCTACCTTTTCATCTTCTTTACTTAATTGATTGAAATTGCCTTCTAGGGTTGGTTTTATACAGGGATGGCAATGGATCCGGCTGGGTTTTTGGCCACCCGACTTGACCCGATAAAATTAAGGTTTCATTCGATTTGAATTGACTCGACTCGAATATATGACTTAGAAATTCGACCCGAAATAATAAAAAAAATATATTTTTATTCAATAAAAGCAATGACTTAATTGAAAAAAATTATATATAGAAGGGTATTATTGTAATTATCCCTAAATATATAGGGTAAAATTATATATATTTTCGGGTCGGGTCAGATTTTTTTCACCCTAAACCCGACCCGACCCGAACCCAAAATATTTTAAAAAAAAATCCGACCCGATCGGGTCAGGTCGGGTCGGAACCGGTCGGGTTCGGGTTGAGTTGCCATCCCTAGTTTTATATTCGTTTGTTACGTAAGATTGAAATATTCACATCATTCTTTAAAATTCTTTCGTAATCGATTTTCACCCGGACACGAAATTTTACTTGACAGGAAAATTAATGTGAATAGATAAATGATTTTGATTTTTAAAAAATATTTTGTGAGTCGCCATCGACTTTTTGAGGTTAAGTAGGTCGAATACCTAAAAATTATCTTTTAAAAGAGTTTTTAAGAAAACATCAGTTAAAAGATAAACCGATCTACGTTTAACCAAAAATTCGTTCTTTTTAATAATAAAAAGGGATTCGTTACGTTTGGGGAAGGATTAGCACCCCACAACGCTCAAAATTGATCTTTGTCGATTATAAATTGTCTCTAATAATAGAATTTAAGAATTCGAATATGAATTTAATTTACAATCAGGTTATTTCAAATTTAATCTGATATTTCTAAGGAAAAATATTAAATATATATATATTGGGTTTTGTAAATATAACATTTATTTATTTAAAAATATCAGAAAATGACATCTAGTTGTTTTAAGACTGTCTTTTCTTTAATATTAATAAATAAATAAATATTAATAAGAATATAATAATTTTCCTAAAAATAATAAAAACTAAGTATATATATATATATATATATATTTATAAGCAGGATATTTATTTATTTTTTTATCAGAATAGAACATCTAGTTATATTAAAATTGTCCTTTCTTAATATTAAAAAATAAATAAATATTATTATTTAAACAAATGTATATATATATATATATATTTATATGACTAAGATAATAATAAAATAATAATGAAAGTAATAATTTAAATATATATCAAAAGTAATAATAAAATAATGTTGCAAATAAATAATGATCAAAATAAAAAAATTAAAATTATAAAATTAAAATGCAAAATATATTAAATGAAAAATATATAAATTAATGACCTAATTTGAATTATCATAAAATAAAGACGCCAATAGTGTAATTTAGCCTTAATTAATTATTTGGGACTAAAATAAAATTAATAAAATTATAAGGGACTAAATGCACTATTTATCCTATATATATATATATAAGGACTAAAAAGAAATAAAACCAAATTTAAAAACCAAATTGAAATGCACATAAAATCAAATCCACTGACTAAAATGTAAAAGCTACAAATCTGGGAGTACTACAGGGAGGGTTTTCCCATGTGTGAAATTACACAAGCACCCCTCATTATTACCCCTTTAAACCGGCTCCATTGAGCCATTTCTCTTATTTTTTTCATTTTTTTTCATTAATACACAAGCTCTCCCTTCTCTCTTCAATTCTCTCGTCGAGTTTCGACCGGCCACCGTTTTTGGCATCGATCACCGCCGTCGGCCACCGTTCACGGTGACCAAAAATTCTACACTCGCCCCCAAATTAAAAATCTGAGCGTTCTAAGGTCGAATATAGCCTTAGTTTCCCTTAAAAAGCCTCAGATTTTTGTAAATCTAAATTTATACCTCCTATTTTTCGGTGGTTCGAAGGTGTTTTGGAGGTCTTCGACGATGAGTAAAGCTTCAAGGGTAAGTTGTTCTTCCTCCTTTGTTCGTTGTTGCTGTCTATGTGGTTGCTTGTTGTTGATGGTGTAGCTGTCGATCGTTGCTTGTTGTTGTAGTTCTCTCTGTTGTTCTCTTGGTTGCTCTGGTCTTTGCAGATTCGGTGGCCATATTTATAGGCCACCACCGAGCTGCTTTCGAACCGGTCACAGAGGGGTTTCTCGGTGAGTCACCATAGCTATAGTGGTGACTCACCATGGGGCATCGACGTGGGGGGCAGCTGGCTTTTGGAATCTTAGGCGAGAGTGGCGTCGTGGCAGCAGTAGCGACGTCGTCGTGGGGCGGCTGGCAGTGGAAACGATGGCTAGAGATAGGGTGATGAAACCCTAGTAGAAATGTGAAAACCCTAATTGGGTTTAAGGTTCTACTAGGCCTTTTGGGTCAGATCCGGTTTTGGGCCTTCGGGTTTGGATCTCATGTTGTAAATGGGCTCCGATTTTGGGCCTGTAATAATGTTTGTAATTATTTATTATTTAATAATAATATAATAATAATATAAATAAAATATAAATAAAAACAAATGGATGAAAAAAACTAGTATCTTCAAATTCATTACTGGATTTAAATTTCAGTTTTAATCAAATAAACTAAAAATATTAAATATTAAATATAATATATATATTTATAAATTTCAGTTAATCTACCAATTAACCGAATTTAGTTCCATTCTATTAACTTTT